GCAATATAGGAATACACATTGAGTTTAATGGTGACGTGTTTATCTTGGTGTAAAATACACCAATACACAAAAAAGTGACTTTGTAGTGTTCCCCCTTCTCTCCCAGTTTAGGCAATATAGGAATACACATTGAGTTTAATGGTGACGTGTTTATCTTGGTGTAAAATACACCAATACACAAAAAGTGACTTTCTAGTGTTCTCCCTTCTCGTTTCTCCCTACGACAACCCTGCGAGGTAGGTCGGGCTGATCCCAATCACTCATACATTTCTGTGGCTGAGGGATTAGTTCCCGGGTCTCATTGGTGCCACACGCTGGTTACCATCCACTACTGCTAAAAACATTTTCACCAATTCAAAATTAGAGCAACACTTTTGCACATTATATTCGTCCGCGCTAATGAAGATGAATATACAAAAAATACCGTAAAGAATTTTAAAATCTGGGTTTAAAAAAATACGGAGAACTAGCCTACAGAAAGACATTTTAAAAACCCTCCAATTCCTTGTTGCCATCTATCGGCGGTCCGGATTTTTGCAGCTCAGAAAGGGACACTTTATCTGCAAGCTATTATTTATGAGAACACTTACTGTCCAGAGCTGAAAGATTTGACTGTCCTATTGCTGACGTAACCATTCGAATACAAAAGAGGCAAAGAGATGAAAGAGCGAAACATTGTAGCCAATCCCTTCCAAGCCCGGGAAATTCGAACGTACTCAGCCAATCAAAAGAGGAGGACTCCGCTATAAATATACTCAGCCTTCAAGCGTCTAGCCTGTTTTCTTGTTTCGTCTTCATCGGGATCGCTTGCTCTATAGGCGAACAATGGCCCGTACTAAACAGACTGCTCGGAAGTCTACCGGAGGAAAAGCTCCTCGCAAGCAGTTGGCTACCAAGGCTGCCCGGAAAAGCGCTCCAGCCACCGGTGGGGTGAAAAAGCCTCATCGTTACCGCCCCGGCACTGTCGCCTTAAGAGAAATCCGTCGTTACCAGAAATCGACCGAGCTGCTCATCCGTAAGCTCCCCTTCCAGCGCTTGGTCAGAGAGATCGCCCAAGATTTCAAGACCGATCTCCGTTTCCAGAGCTCCGCTGTGATGGCCCTGCAGGAAGCCAGCGAGGCTTACCTCGTGGGCCTCTTCGAAGATACCAACCTGTGCGCCATCCACGCCAAGAGGGTGACGATTATGCCGAAAGATATCCAGCTGGCGCGCCGCATCCGCGGGGAGAGGGCTTAAGTGGTCTCTCGCCAGTTGCGCAAAGCGCAACAAAGCAATCCAAAAGGCTCTTTTAAGGGCCACCCACGTATATCAAGGAAAGGGCTGCTGTTTTGCTTCTGCTGAAAACGGCCACGCGGTTTGCAGTACACGTGGACTTTCTTCAAAAAAAGATACCAAGAGATTTCATTGTAGGAAGACATGGGTGCATATAATTGTGTAGCTAGAAGGAAGAAAAGTTTTTTTTTTAATGAAAGACATCTTGATTAAACTAAACGATAAAACTATAGTTTTGCTTCTTTAGGTCACATTTGTAAAGATTTTAGTTTGATTCCCATATTTGAATAGCATACACCAGTTGCAATTAGAATGTTTGTAAGGAACATGTTTTAAATAACTGCCTTTTTATGCTAGTGTTGGACAGTATTTGAGACAGGGTTTGAATTTTGACCTGTATTCTGCCCAGACAGCTACTGTGGGAGATTTTCATTTTCCCAGAATAACTTAATCTGATGGGCAAAGTTTGTTGGATACATTAATTCATAGGAATTAAACTGTATATATGTAATTGCATTATCTTTGTAGATATGCCACACACTTAAAATAAAATTCATAGGAATTATGTTTCCATGATTTTTACTATTATCAGCAAGAGCTATGTGCTATGTGATGATACTTTCCCTTGTAGGGTGTTTCTTTTTTTATTAAGAATTTTAAAATCCTGATTATGGAGAATTATGTAAGTGATTTATATCCACAGACACACACACACACCCAATGCCTACCTGAGACAGCAGCTTTATCACCTCAAATATCCATATCATCCAGGATTTGCACTTTTATCAGTAACCAATAAGTTGTTGCTTAGCTCAAAATCAGACGATGTGCAGAATTGCCATTCTTGTTTCTACAGTGCTATTCTGTCCATGCTGGCTGCACTTAGCAGCCTTGATTGAAAAATATGGGCAAATTGGCAGTCCACCATCAATGAATTTGTTGGAAAGTTGGCCTGCTTTTTAGAAGCACTTGCATTTCATTTAATGGACTTTTGGAGCTCTCATAACAGGAGATTATGCAAGTGATAGAAAATTTCGAGCCATCTTTTGGATACAACTTTGGCTCATGGATTAGGGACGCGGTGACTCATTGGCTAAGACGCTAAGCTTGTTGATCAGACATGTCGGCACTTTGAATCCCTAGTGCCGCATAACGCAGTGAGCTCCCGTTACTTATCCCAGCTTCTACCAACCTAGCAGTTCGAAAGCATGTAAAAATACAAGTAGAAAAATAGGGACCACCTTTGGTGGGAAGGTAACAGTGTTCCATGCACCTTCAATGTTTAGTCATGCCGGCCACATGACCACAGAGACGTCTTTGGTCTGAGCTGGCTCTTCAGCTTTGAAATGGAGATGAGCACCGCCCCCTAGAGTCGGGAATAACTAGCACATATGTGCGAGGGAAACCTTTACCTTTACCTTACCTTGGCACATGGAACATAAGGCCTTTGAAGCTGCTGCTTCCTCCCCTCCTTCAGAAGACTAAAGCATTTCAGCATGTTCAGAGGATCTGCTTGAAAGAATGGGAGAGGTTCTAAACCCCTTCTTCTATCTTCCCTTGAGGGTTTTCCCATTTGAACTAACTATAGAAAACCAAAATTCAAATAAGGAGAAAACCAAAGACATATAACTCAGATATACTCTATAAGGGACTCTATAATTACAGGATAGCACAGGAGGACTGTTTTGAAAGTGTTGGAAGAAATACCCATCTGGTTCAGTTCCAGGCTGGGAGAAAGGCACTGGCAACATGAGGGCTGATTGGAAAGAGAGTTTAATGATGAACAGAACCACCAGCAGTCCTGACTCAGCTGGTTTGAAGAGTACGTGGATTGTAATAGGTTTTTTTTCTACAGCATTTTGTAAATCAGAGGCTTCTTTTGTGTATTTTGTTATTTGATTGTAATTTGTTTGTCTCAGGAAAGCAATGAGTCTAAAGTGCTGACTTCCTTGCATTTTTAATCTTGTTTAACAAATGTAATTAGTCCTAGATGCTAGTTTCCTTGGGGTTTTAATCCTGTCTTGAATGGATTACCAAACCTGCATTTTTAAAAGGTGGGCTCCTCTAGTATTTTTGGGGCTATTAAGAAAGACAGTCTGTTTTCTGCCTCAAAAAAACCCCCATGTTTCTCCATTTCTCATTTAGCGGAATATAATATTCTGCTTTTTTAAAAAACATTTCTCAAACTATTTCATTCTTCTAGGGTGGGGTGCTAACTTTCTACAAAAGGAAATGTAAATCAGATGAGCTGCCAGCCCAGCTTGTTGAGTGTAAACATGTGATTTTCCTATTGTCTCACCCATCCCCAGAAAATTACTATTGCTTGTCTACAGCAGACATGCGTCGAGGTACTGTTCACAATTTATCTTTGCTTTGAGAAAAGGCAGAGAGAGACCTTCACATCTTGTTCTTTTCTGGGGTGGGGGTTTCTTAAAAACAATACTGAAGGAGGTTGTTGTGGAAAATTTAGTCCAGAGCAAAAGAGGACCCCAAAGAAAGCAAATTTTTTTTTAAATATAACTACAATGCAGGAAAGATTGAGGGCAAAATAAGAAGGGGACGACAGAGAATGAGGTGGCTGGATGGAGTTACCGAAGCAGTAGGCGGAAGCTTAAATGGACTCCAGACAGTGGTGGGTTTAAAAAAAAATTCAAACCTACTCTGTGGGTGTCACTTCCTTTGTGGGAGTGGCTTGCCAGCCATGTGACCTGGTGGGAGTGGCTTGCCGGCCATGTTTTCCCCCCCTCTCTCTCTCTCTCTCTCTCTCTCTCTCTCTCTCTCTCTCTCTCCTTCCTTTTGTCTCTCTGTCCCTTTTCCCTTTTTT